GGCTAAGAATGGAGACATGGGAGAGGTAGAGTTTGAGGGGATCGGCAGAGCTTGAGGGGAGCTGTGGGGAGGGATGACAAGAGTACTTAATGATAGGTGATGATTGTTGGCTATTCTGATGAAGGTGTAGGAGCACTGGGCTTAAGCCTGGAAACGTGAATCCACGGGGTAAGTTGGTTATTAGACAGCTTGAATTTGGCTGCCAAGGGAGTGCACAAAATGCCAAGGGAGCAGGACCCTCCCATTTGGGTTTTAGAGGGGGCTTTTCCCTGGTGGGCAATAGTAAACAAGTTGACCAGGTGTTAAGGAGGTAGGGTTTTGAAAGAGACTGGGGTCAGGAAGGATCTAGTCTTGATAACACCAGAGTTTAGAGCGTAGATGGAAGAGGAGGGGCAGGGCATAGGTTTTGGAGATGGGTCGGGGTTCTGTAGGCAATCCGGGAGGAACAAGGGGATGGCCATACATGACTTTGAAAGGTGAGAGATTTGAAGGCTTCTTTGGCAAGGCCCTAATGTGCAATAAAGCCAATAGGAGCACCTTTACCCAGTCCAGGCTTAATTCCATGGTGAGCTTGGTGAGGGTCTAAGGGACTGATTGGTCCTTTCAACCTTTCTGGAAGCCTGGGGTGGTAAGGGCAATGGAAATGCCAAGGGAGTGATAGTGCGTGAGCCAGTCCCTGAGTTATCTGAGAGGTGAATTCTGGGCCATTGTCTGATTGGATAGAAGTGGGCATCCCAAAACAGGGGATTATGTGAGTAAGCATCAGATCAACTACCATAAAGGCCTGCCTGTTAGAAGTGGGAAAGGCTCCAACCCGTCCTGAAAAAGTATCTACCAATACAAGAAGATTTTTTATGTTTTTTACTCGGGGCATGTTGGTGAAATCAATCTGCCAGTCTACAGCCGGGGTATGACCATGGGCCTGATGAGAAGGGAAAGGTTTAGGTTTTAATGGAGTATTGGTATTGGTTCTCTGGCAGATCTGACAAGCAGAAGTGATCTGTTGTAGGAGGGTCTTATCACATGGGGAAAGGGTGAAAAAGGAATGAAGGAAAGTATAAGACTCTGTGGACTAGAATGGAATAGAGAGTGAAGAAACTGGAAGAGTTGTTGGGGATCTTTGGGCCGATCCCTGGTCGTAATGAAGAGTAGCAGGGAGGAGGTAAAGCTCTGTAGGGCGGCTGACCAAGCCGCTTGATTGGTCTTGGAATTCCCCCATAGTAGTAAGGGAGGAGTCAAATTTGGTGGGCCTTGCAATGGATTATTCCCAGTTGGGAAGGCAGCTTGGAGGCTCGTAGTAGGCCAGAAATAAGTGTGGAATTAATGACTGCCATCCCTCTGGAGGTCAATAGCCCCCTTTCTTTCCAAATGGCTGCTGGGAGATCAGGATATGGAAGATGTATTTGGAATCTGTATATAGGGAGAAGGCTTTACCCTCATCTAGCTCGCATGCCCTTGTGGCAGCTATAATTTCAGCTTGTTGGTTGGTGGTATTGGGTGGGAGAGGTTTTGCCTCTATGATGGATGAGAGGGAAACAACAGCATACCCCACCCCTTTAACCCCTTTGTGTATAAAGGAGCTACCATCTGAGAACAAGACGAGGTCTGAAGAGGGCAGGGGTCCCTCAGAAATGGTGGTAGGGCAGGGTAAAATCATCTCTAATACCTCCAGGCATTTGTGGATGGGATCTTGTTAGGGAGAAAATGGGAGGAGGGAGATAGGGTTTAATGGAGAGCAGGGCTGAAAAGAGATGAAGGGATATTTAAGGAGAGACACGGAGGGATAGAACCCTGGAAGGAGGAAGTGACTGTAGCCCCTCGTAAGTGAGGAAATCCTTTCTTTTTTATTTTTTTAAAGAGAGAGAGAAAATTTTTAATATTTATTTTTTTTTAGTTTTTGGCAGACACAACATCTTTGTTTGTATGTGGTGCTGAGGATCGAACTTGGGCGGCACACATGCCAGGCGAGCGCGCTACCACTTGAGCCACATCCCCAGCCCGAGGAAATCCTTTAAATGGTGAGGAGATGAGATGGTTAGTGGGGAGCCAAAGGTAAGCTTGTGTGCTTCTTTCTGGAGGTCATGGGCCACTTCTAGGGCTCTGAGGCATGGGGGCCAGCCCCTGATGGTGGAGTCGAGCTATTTAGGTAGGGCACTGGTGCAAATGTGGGGCCATATTCCTGAATTAGAAAGCCCAGACTTTGTCCCTGTTTTTCATGTAGAGGGTGAAGGGTTGGGAGAGTTTGAGGAGATGCAGGGCAGGTGCCTGGAGGAGGGCCTTTTTAAGGATTGTAAAGGGCTTTCCTACCACTGAGGGTAGGGGTTCATCTTGGGGGCCCTTGGCCAGATTATATAGCCACCTGGCGAGGAGGAAGAAATTAATTGTAGAAATCCCTTAGAATGGAGCTTTGGTGTAGGTATAGACACAATAAGATGTTTTCTCTCTATTGTATTGGCCTTTTTCCCTTGAGAGATAGAGAACCCTAGATATGTGACCTCTTTACATGCTATTTGGGCCTTTTGTGGAGAGGCCCAATATCCCTTTAAGGCCAAGAAATTAAGTAGGAGAACTGTGTCATCTGTTGAGCACCCTTTGGATGGGCTTTGGACAGGCCAGAAGAATTTGGAGAGGTTTGCAAGAGGTGCAGAGAGCAGGATTGGATTGAAGCAAGAAAAAAGCCTGGAAGAGATCCCTTAGAATGGAGGGATCCAGGGACCCAAAAAGGGGCCATCTGCTTTGGTTGTCTAAGGGATAAGTGAGCCAGGCCTGGGTGCTATACTTGATCCAAAAGGCATTGTAGAGGAGAGTCGACTGGCAGAGAGTACACATTACCCATGTAAGGAGGAGGGAAGAGGATGAAGAGAAGGAGGAAACTGATTTATTGGCAAAAGGGGCGTCCCTGCTAGAGCCAAAATATCAGGAGTACCTAAGTGGCAGATTTGAGCTGCGGAGATTGGTGGTCACAGAATCCTAACAGTCGAAGCTCTTGTCCTGGACAGAGCTGGAGCCATGGGAGACCTTTGCCAAGGCTTTTCAGGATCCCTCCTGGAGAGGACGGATACTCCAAGGGATGGAAAGAGGAGAGAGGCAGGGCAAGAGAAGGGAAGGGTAAGCATCTCTCTAGTGGCTGAATCTTAAAGGTGAGAGGACTAGGACTTTAGGAATCTGCTCAAGGAAGGAGTCCCTAAGGGCCACCGTAGCCTTAAAGGCTGTGGTGGGGTGCTTTCCTCCCTGTAGGTGGGCAAAGTGATTTGCCGGATGATAATCAACATATTGCAAGAGGGTGGATTCAGGGCACTGGGGGTGAAAAGATTAGAGATCAGAGGTCAAGGTTTGTCCATAGAGGTGTGGACTATCTCAAGATCCCTGAGGAAGGACAGTCCAGGTTAAAGGCAAAAAGATATCCTTTAAATCTATGACCGAGAAGTGAGTGGCAGTGTGGGGGATCTGAGACAGCAGGGTGCATGGGTTGGGAACCAAAGGATGTATGGGCCTAAAGGAGGTGTTGATGAGTAGTAGGTCCTGAACTAAGTGATAGGACCCGTTGGGCTTTTTTACCACTAGTATGGGAGTATTGTAAGGGGAATGAACAGGACAGAAGTACTCCTTGCTAAGAAGGTCCTGAATAGGTTGTAGGCCCAGAAGAGCTTTTGTGGACAGGGGCTATTGAGCCTGATTGGGGAAGGTGTTGGGATCTTTGAGATGAATGTTAACTGGTGGGCAGGAAACAGTGGAGGGGGTGTGGGTATCCCATACAATCAGGTCAACCAGGTAGTGATCCTTTTTAGTATGGTGTTTCATGTCAGCCTCACAAGTGGAGCAGAATGGCCAGTCTTCTGCCAAAAGGGCCAGAAAACATGAAAAGGCCTATTCTGGGGCCTGACTGATGCCAGGAGCCTGGATGTTGATTGTTGTATTAAATTTAGAGAGAATATCTCGGCCAAGCAAAGGAACTGGCCATTGGGGCATAACTAAGAATGTCTGAGAGAATGGGAAGTTGTCTATGGAACAGAGTAATAGGGGAGTCTTTTTTGGATAGATGGTCTTTCCTCCTACCCCGACAATAGGAGAGGTGGATGGCACTGTTTGCCCCCAGAATTCTGTCAGGACTGAGAAGGTAGCCCTGGTGTCAAGGAGAAAGTCAACTTTGCTCCCATCCACCTGAATCTGCACTCTGGGTTCCTGTCTCCTTATGGCTGGGGACAAGGACCCAAGGCTCCATCAATCTTCGATTGCCATGCCCAGAAGGTCGGAGGGTTCCCTGGCCATAGGCCTCCTATGGGATCTAGGACAGAGCCCCAATGACCTTGTTGTTGATATTTAGGGCATGGGGTATGCAGAGTGCATGGTGCAGGGCCCAATGTCCCTCCATGCCATGCTTGAAGCAGGCGCTGGGGGATTTTGACCTGCGGTGATGGGCGGAGACCCGAGGAAGCACCCTGCAGGGCCTGGGCAAGCATCTGAAATTTCTCAGTCTGGGGGGTGGCAGGGCCTTGTTCTAGCTTTTTTAGTTTGGCCCGGAGGTCGGGATAGCTCTGCAAGAGGAAATATGTCATAAGGACATGATGGCAATCAGGGGTTTCGGGATATAGGTTACTGCTGAAGGGCTTTCGTAAGCCGATCCAGAAATTCTGATGAGTTCTCTTGTAGTTTTTGGAAACTGACAGCCTTACATGCTGCTTTTTTGAGCCCAGCAATAATACATGCAGAGAATCGGTCCCTACTCTGTATGCCAGCTTGTGTATTATAATCCCAGTTGGGAGTTTGATCTGGGGCAGCAAGTGGCCCCGGAGGGATTGGAATTAACTCGGTGAGTTTCATCCACATGGGCTCTGGCAAGTTCCCAGACTCTGGTACGTTCCTCAAGAGGGAGAGTATTAGCCAATAACATATAAGTGAGGCTATAAGCCTGGAGGACCCATTGAAACTCTCTTCTGTGGTGAATGAGCCACTTGAGTTGCGTGAGGTCATTCATAGAGACTGAGACATGTACCCGGATAATGCCCTCAGGTCCAGCAACCTCTCTTAAGGGGGCCATGGTTTGTGGGACTAGGGAGCGGGACCTAGTTTGGGGGGGACTAAAGGTGTCAGCAAGTCAAGGGGAGCACCTGAGGGGCTGGACAGAGCCGATGGGGGAGGTCGGTAGGGAGGGTTTCATCTGCTGGATAGGTTGGGGTAAGAACGAAGAAGAGAAAAAGCCTCAACATAGGGGATCTCCTTCCACTTTTTCGAGCACTCGCAGAAGTTAAACAGATCTCTGAGAACTGCTAGATCTAGGGATCCTCCTGGGGACCATTGATTTTGATTGTCTAATTGATAGTAAGGCCAATCTTGTGTGCAGAATTTAATAAGGGGGAGTCTGTATGGAGGGAAGAATAGGCCCCCATAGGTCAGAAAAGGGACAAGGGTGGTTAAGAGAGAGAGAGAGAGAGAGGAGTGCCTGTTCTTCCATCCCTCAGGACCTCCCGCTCATGAACCGGGTTCCAGAGAGTCCATGGTGACCATGAAGTTTGTGGTGGTGTGTGTTCTCTCCTCCAGAATGGGCGTCAGAGGTTTGCGGGACGATCATGGTCAAAGCCACTGCGTAGCCATCTGAAGTTGGATACCCAATAGGAGAGCTCACCTACTGAAGAGCCGGTGTTGTGTGAGTAGGAGCAGTGCTCAAAAGAGTGGACAAGGATGGCAAGCCTTGAGAGAGGGGGCCCTCGAGCAGCAAGGCATTCCCTCTCCTGGGTTTTGGCACCAATGAAAGAATAAACAAGGCTCATTGTTGGAGAAAATGCCTGTTTATTGAGGAACAGCTCTGCATATTTATAGAGCTGAGGGTGGTTTGACAGTTATGACAGTTTAACAGTTTAATGGTTTGTAAGTTGGCATGGGGTGCTGCCACAGTCTGGCTGGGCACAATTCATGAGCCACTTATCAAGCAGAAACGAACTTTATTTTTAGAACACACATGCCACACCACACGAGCTCTTCAGGAATTCCTTCAGAGCCAAACTGCCACCACTGGCTTCCCAGGAGCCTCCCAACCCCCCCCCCCACTCCTCCTGCTCTTGAGGCCGATTGGCTGGGTGGTGTGGGCGGAGCCAAAAGAGTCCCCTAATGAGCAGCTCCATGGTCTGAAAGGGCAGGGAAACAGCCCAATGAGCATCACCACAGAGGAGCCAATCAGCTGGCAGCTGGAAGTTTGCTGGGGCCAAGGTGAGCCAATCAGCTGGAATTTTGCTGGGGTCCCTTTGGCTGTGGCTCTCAACATCTCCCCCTCTCTATTTAAACAACAAGCATGTGGCTTAGGGACCGTGCCTGCTTTAGGTTGTCCAATACTACATATGGTCCTTACCCGTCATCGGATGAGCTGACTTCAAGGCGTCAGCCTCCTGTCTTGGGTTGGTACCATTGCAATTGGATCTTACCCGTCATTGACTACTGGTCCAGCATACAGCCACACCTGTGGATAGGCCTTTGTACCAGCGGGGGATGAGGCTCTTTGCCTCACCTCTGTTGGTCCCCAAATTTTAGCTGAACGACCATCACAAGCAGAAGGGAGGCGGATACACCAAGCCAATTGACGGCTCCTTTTGGAAAAATTGTACCATCGATGACACCATCAGCAAAAATACCCCAACACTACCACAAGTCACTGCACCAACAGATAGTTCACAATGCATACAAGTGATACATAGTCCAGACAAGTTCTGCAAGCAGTTCAGTGATAGCTATTGCAGAAGCTGTAGATTGGTTTTATCTTTGTCTTCAACTGGCACTGGGATGAAGATAGGAATTCTGGCAATAATGGCTAAAGAAAAAATTATGTAACATTCCAGCAGGCACTAAAAGAAAACAATTTTCTGAACAATTTACATTATCCTGAACAGAATTATTAAATATAATGAAAAGGAAAGGTGAAAGTAAACAAACAGATCTGTTAACCTACTTTTTTGTTCACATATTAAAACAATCCTCAACAGCTGTTTACTCAATGTAAATTAAACCATTTAAATCACATGAATAAGAAAAAAAAATATTTGGATCCATTTTTTCATGAGCGCTCATCATATATGATATATGGACATACGTACATACAAACATAAAACACAAAACACAAGTGTGCACACATAGTATAATACACACAACACATAACATAATAGTAAAGGCTTTATAACTTTTTACAGGTGAAATCTCCATTGCAATGTTTAAAAACTCTATAGTCAAAAAATAGAACTGATCAGCAAAACATTAACCTAGGTTTGTATGAGCTCAAAAAACAAAATAGAACTTCATGAAGTGGGAAAGAGCAATAATAAAATAGATATTGAAAAAAGCATCCTGGTTCTGTCGCAGATGTAAGGATAGCCAAACTGGAGTTTTGGATATCAGCTGTTATGGATTTGAGCCAAATCATCTTCTTTTTCGTCTGTAGAAATCGCTTTAGTTAATCTCTCTGGAATCTAAATCGGCTGCTGTTCTCCCTGTGGAAACACACAAACAGACCCCGGACTCCAGACAATCACTGGGTCAGGACCTTTCCATTGTCCTGTTAGAATATCCTTCCAAAGTACCTTGGGCTTATGTACATTTTTTGGACACATATGCCTTTCCACAGCACTAAGCCCTGATGAATCCAAATTTTAAAAGTTTAGAGTAAAAAGCTTATTTTAAGTTTATCTTTGGGGAATATATACCCCTTCCCAATTCCCTCTTTTCTGCTTTAATAAGTACATTTTAATAGTTTGATGAGCTCTTTCAACTATGCCTTGTCCCTGTGGATTGTATGGGATTCCTGTTATATGAGTAATGCCAAATGATGAGCAAAATTGTTTAAAAGAGGTAGAAGTATAACTAGGACCATTATCTGTTTTTAACTGTTTTGGAACGCCCACAGTGGCAAAATTTTGTAAGCAATTAGCTATAATATCTTTAGTTTTTTTCTCTGGCATTAAGGGAGCCCATCAAAAATCCAGAAGAAGTATCAACTGTAACATGCAAATATTTTAATTTTCCAAATTCTGGCAAGTGTGTGACGTCCATCTGCCAAATATGGTTAGGTATCAGTCCTCTAGGATTGACTCAAAGATTAACTTGTGGTAAAAAGGTCACACAATTTTGACTTTGTTTTATTATTTGTTTAGCTTGTTCCTTAGTTATTTTAAAATGCTTTTGTAAAGTATTAGCATTGACATGGAACTTTATATGAAAATTTGTAGCTTCTTCTAGTGTAGAGAAAATATGTATGTCATCTGTAGTTTTATCTGCTAAATCATTGCCCAAACTAAGGGCTCCAGGCAATCCTGTATGTGCCCTGATATGTCCTATAAAGAACGGATCTTTTCTGTCCCAGATTAGACTTTGTATAGTGGAAAGCAAAGAGAAAACAGTAGAGGAAGGGGAAATCCTACCAGCATCTTCAAGGGATACTATAGCATTAACTATATACTGACTATCGGAAAATAAATTAAATACAGAATCTTTAAACATCACAAAAGCTTGTAATACTGCATTAAGCTCTACATTTTGAGCTGATTGTTTGGGTACTAAAAATATAAAAGTTTGATCAGGTGTAACTATTGCTGCTGTACCATTATTTGACCCATCAGTGAATATATTTGGAGCATTCATGATAGGTGTTTTTCTTGTCATTTTTGGAAAAATTACAGGACGCGATGACCAAAAAGACAATAAAGGATTAGATGGTAAGTGGTTATCAAATGAAACATTAGATTTGCACATGATTATTGCCCAAGTATTTAACTCATTAGCTAACTCATCAATTTGATCCATAGTATATGGAGTAATGATTTTATTGGGAGAAATTCCAAACACTCCCTTTGCTGTTTTTATTCCTTTGAGTATTAATTGTCCTACAGCCTCAGGATACCTAGTAAGAATAGTGTTAGGAGAATAAGATAAATGTATCCATAATAATGGACCTTCTTGCCAAAATACTCCTGTAGGAATATTTTTTGTTGGTAGTACAATAAATAATAAAGGCAAACTTATATCAATTCTATCCAAATTTATATTTTCCATATATGTTTCAATGATTTTTAATGCCTTTCTTGCTTTAGGCGTTAACATTCGGGGTGAATTTGGATCTGATGGACCTTTTAGGACATCAAATAAATGTCCCAACTCTCCTGTTGCTATGCCTAGATAAGGCCTTATCCAATTTATGTCTCCTAATAACTTTTGAAAGTCGTTAAGTGATTTGAGTTGATCTACTCGTATTTGAATTTTTGGTGGATGGACCATGGTTGAGGATAATAGAACTCTTAAATAATTAATTGGAATATTTAATTGTACTTTATCTATTGCTATCTCTAGATTATAATTTTTTTAATAAGTTTGTAAGGGTGGCATAACATTCTAGCAATGTGTTTTTATCTTTGTGTGCTAATAATACATCATCCATATAGTGAAATATATGTAGTTCAGGATTTTGATTTCTAAGTGGCTGGATTACTTTGTTAACATAAATTTGACACATAGTTGGGTTGTTAGCCATCCCTTGAGGGGGTACTTTCCATTCATATCTCTGATCAGGACCTTCGTGATTCAGTGCAGGGATAGTAACTGCAAAACGTGGACTATCCTCAGGATGAATTGGAAGTGAAAAAAAAAACAATCTTTAATATCTATAACTAAAACACACCAGGTTTTTGGCAAAGCAGACAACTGGGGAATCCCCAATTGAGCAGGTCCCATAATAATCATCTCATTATTAATGGCTCTTAAATCTTGCAATAATCTCCATTTACCAGATTTCTTTTTGATGACAAAAATGGGAGTATTATGGTGAGATACAGAAGGTTGTATATGTCCCTCCACTAATTGTTGTTTGACCAGGTCATAGGCTGCTTGTATCTTTTCTTTAGTCAGGGGCCACTGAGGAACCCATACTGGTCTTTCTGATTTCCAAGTAATTTTTATTGTCTCAGAGACCCCTCCTGAAAATCCAATCCATGTCTGTCTGTTCCTTGATCTATTTGTATTGGTGCTGCTATACCTTGTTCTTGTTCTCCTAATCTTTTCCCTTTCCTAAAACCTTGTCTAGCCATAATAGTGGACACATTTGAATTGATGTTATTTGTTAATGTTAGTCCTAATTGATCTAGGACATCTCGTCCCCATAAATTTACGGGAAGATGATCCAATACATATGGCTGTATAGTTCCTGGTGAATTTACTGATATACCCTTTGGAGAACTGGCTATAATTTTTATTTCACCTTCATAATCGGAATCAATTACCCCAGGACTTATCATAAGTCCTTTTAGAGTAGAAGAACTGCCTCCCAATATCTATTGATATAATAAATTACATGTATTGATTTCCATATGTTAAATTAACCTCGAATTCCTGGGATGAACCCCACCTGATCATGGTGCACTCTCTTTTTAATGTGTTATTGTATATAACTTGCCAGAATTTTATTGAGAATAATTTCATCTTTGTTCATCAGGGATATTGGTCTGAATTTTCTTTCCTTGGTGTGTTTTTGTCTGGTTTTGGTATCAGGTTGCTACTAACCTCATAGAGTGAGTTGCAAGGTTTTCCTCCTTCTCTCTTTCATAGAATTATTTGAGGAGTATTGGTGCAAATTTTTCTTTGAAAGTCTTGTATAACTCAGTTGAGAATTCATCTGGTCCTGGGCTTTTCTTTGTTAGTAGGCATTTGATGACCTCTTCTATTTATTTGCTTGAAGTTGATCTGTTTAAATTGTGTATGTCCTCCTGATTCACTTTGGTTATGTCATATGTCTTGAGAAATTTTTAGATGTCTTTATAATTTTCCATTTTATTAGAGTATAAATTTATGAAATAGTTTCTGATTATCTTCTGTATTTTGGTAGTGTTCATGATATTTCCTTTTTCATCACAACTTTTAGTAATTTGTATTTTCTCTTTATTAGTATGGCTAAGGATTTATAAATTTTATTTACTTTTTCAAAGAACCAACTTTTTGTTTGTCAACTTTTTGAATTGTTTTAATTTCATTGATTTTAGCTCTGATTTTTCATTATTTTCTGTCCTCTACTGATTTTGATGTTGATTTGCTCTTCTTTTTCTAGGCTTTTGTGATGTAACATTAGGTAATTTATTTGTTGACTTTCTATTCTCTTAATTAATGAGCTCAATACAATGAACTTTCCTCTTAGCACTACCTTCACAGTGTCTCAGATATTGATATGTTGTGTCACTATTCTCATTTACTTTTAAGTATTTTTTTATTTCATCCCTGATTTTTTCTACTCTCCACTGATCCTTCAATAGCATATTATTTAGTCTCCAGGTTTTAGAGTAGCTTCTATTTTTTTATTTATTATTGATTTTATAGTTTTATTCTATTATAATCTGATAGAATTCAAGGTGTTATTTCTATTTTTTTAATTTGCTAAGAGTTGGTTTGTGACCTAATATATGGTCTATTTTAGAAAAGGAGCCATGTGCTGCCGAGAGGAAAGTGTATTCACTCATTGCTGGATTAAATACTCTCTCTATATCTGTTAAGTCTAAATTATTGATTGTATTATTTAATTCTATAGTTTCTTTTTTGTTTGGAGGATATATCCAGTGGTGAGAAAGGTGTGTTAAAGTCACCCAGTATTATTGTGGTGTGGTCTATTTGCTTCTTGAAGTTGAGAAGGGTTTGTTTAATGTATGTAGGTGTTCCATTGTTTGGGGCATAAATATTTATGATTGTTATGTCTTGTGATGTATAATTCCCCTAACCACTATGAAATGTACCTTCTAATTAATTTTGGCTTGAAGTCCACTTTATCTGATATGAGGATAGAAACCCCTGCTTGTTTCTGTCATCCATGTGAGTGATACTTTTTTTTTCACATCCTTCATCTTCATCTCCAGTCTCTTTGCCTATGAGGTGAGTCTCTTGGAGACAGCATATTGTTTGGTCTTGTTTTTTGATCTAATCTATCATTCTATGTCTTTTGGTTATTGAGTTCAGGCCATTAACATTCAAGATTATTATTGAGATATGATCTGTATTCCCAGTAATTGTTTTGTTTCTGGTTTTAATTTGTATTAGTTTCTCTTTTGATTGACTTTCTTTATGTAGTTCCTCTCTTTGTTGGTTCCCCCCACTCTTTTTTCACTCCATCTTCATTGGATATTTTGCTTAGAATGTTCTGTAGTCAAGCAACAAGAGCAGAAAATAAATTACTGTTTTGATCTCTAGAGCCTGGACTTGGAGTCTGCTGCTTCTGGGAATGTTTCAGTGCAATGATGCTGAAAGACATGCCCATTTGCAGGTAGCTGCTCTTAATGAGTAGAGTCCATGCCTGATGTGGAATTTATGGATTAGATAGCTTTGAATTCAGATGCCTGCTCTCCTGGGGTGGAAGATATATGGGTGTGCTCTATAGCCTTGTGGTGCCAGCTATACCAAGCCTAGAGATGATATCATGCAAGTAGGTGAGCTCCAATTAGCTTGTTCCTGCTCAACTTGGCTTTTTGTTTGCCTTAAAGAAGTTTTCTTTTACAATAAATCCTTTAATATATATATATATATATATATATATATATTCATATATAATAAAGAACATGTGCTTTTCTTCTTTGTTAGGGGTTGGACCCTTGGGTTGAACAACCCACAGAGTCCTGCTTTTTAAACTATTTTCATGCTTTTTTCTTTATTACTTCTGAACTTTGTTTTCTTAGCCAGCTCACAGCCTGCAAGCAATTAACTGCTCACTCACTGTTCACTCACTGTGCATGATGGAGCAAGATCTGGTGCCTGAACCTAGACCACTGGCTAGGTATTCAGAGAGAGAAGTTTCAGGTGAGCTTGGCTGCCCCTCAAATCAGGAGACACTCATATTAGTCAATTTAAAGAGAGGATGGAGTGGGGAGTTTTTAATAGCTTGCTGTTAAACATGGGAAACTAATTCTAAAGAGAGTGAATATTTTCTCACAATACTTAAAACTATGCTAAGACAAAGAGGAAATCCAGTAAACAATGCTCAGCTGGCACAATTTTTAAAAGTGGTACTGAAGATTTGCCCATTGTTTCCCAAAGAGAGTTCCTTTAATTTGCATTTTTTGGGAAAAGGTTGGCAGAGAATTATGCACTGGATATAACTCAGCCAAAATATTCAGGTGCATGATCGATTATCTCAGAGAATATGTGGACTTAATACAAACTTGTTTAGATTCAGATCAAGAGAGTATAACATGGTCAGCATGTTTTAAGAATGCTATCAAAGGTTATAAGCCCCCTCAGCTGGCCTTCCCCAGTCTCTTTGTCTGCAGAGAGCATGCCTGAGATGGAGGATCGAGATGAGCTAGAAGCAACTGAGTCAGAACCAGCTGAATTAGATGGAGAGATTCAGAGTGATAAGGGAAGGGAACCTGAACAGGAATTTGGGGAGGATTCTCAAGAGTAACTAGAAGAAGGTGAATTAGTTAGTGAGCTCTGTAATTTAATTTAATTAAATACAATGCTCCAGCTCTCTGCAAGGCCTGTGAGAAACAAGAGTGTCAGAGAAGATGTGACCAGATTCTGATTATATCCCATCTTTGGGTAGCCTGATCTTGCCCTGTCTTTTTTTTTTATATAGGAGTTATCCTAATGAATATGAATATAAGATACTTATTATGGTTTTGGCTTGCATTTCCCTAAAGATTAGTAATGCTGAGCAATTTTCCAATGCTTATGGGCTATTTGCACATATATCTTCTTTACAGAAATTTTCATTCAAATCCTTTAGCTATTTTTGAATCACATTATTTGTACTTTCTTGTTGAGTTTTTAGAATATCCTACATATTTTGGATCTAAATCTCTTATCTATTATTTGAAATTATCATTTCCCATTCTATGGGTTGCATTTTTACTCTGATAATATTCAGGGCATATAGCTGAAAGAATTGAAGGCAGAGTCTCAAATATTTGTTCATAGTTGTTCACAAAAATAGTATTTACAATAGCTAAGTGATGGAAGCAAACCAAATATCTACCTATGGCTAAGTGATAAAACATGCATACATGCAATTTTTTAATAGCCTTAAAACAGAAGAATTTTTGACAAGTGGTACAACATATGTTAAACCACAACTCAAATAAAAGACCACGGACTCCAATTTTAAATCGAATTCAAGCAAGCTTGTATTTCCAGCCGGGACTATCTCTCCCCAAATCCTTGGGTTAGAGAACAGTACCCCAGCTCTCTAGGAGCATAGTTTTATAGTACAAAAAGTTGTAAAAGGGAGCTGTCTTGAGAACTTACAGATAATAGGATTTTGACAAGCATAATACAAATGCAGATAATAGGTTAATGATCTAAATGTTCAACATTTCAAGTTAGGGAGTAAATTTAGAACCCAACACCAGAATTTATGAGGGGCTGCTAAGGTTTCAGAGAGGGCTGTTATCTGGTCAAGGAAAACTAGAATTTATGAGGCACCACTAAGTTTTCAGAGAGGGTTGTCAGGGAAAGCCAGGCATGGGTGAGTTCAAGGCATAGGCAGGCTTTCCAAGCAAGTTTAGAAATTGCAGTACTTTATAGTAAAACAGAAATTAACTTCTCATGACTTTATGACCCAAAGATGACTCCCAATCTTAAGATATAATTAGGCTGGGTTCATCACATGGAGGAAACTTGAGGACATTATACTAAATAAAATTAGCCAGTCACATGATAAAAAATATGGTCTGATTCCTAATTGTTAGGTTCCCTACAGTACTCAAATTCAGAGACAGAAAATTCATTGCCAGGCTTGGGGAAAAATGGGAAGATGAGGAGTTATTGTTTGAGTTTCAGTTTTATAAGATGAAAAGAGTTTTGGAGATGGATGGTTTCACAACAATGTGAGTGTATTTAATTCCTCTGAAATGTACACTCAAATATGGTCAAGGTGGTCAATTTTATGTTTTGCTATAGAGTGTTACTGTAGACAAATTTAAAAATTGTAAAAATTGAAATTATTCTGATGAACCCAGCCTAATTCCATCTTAAGATTGGGAGCCGTCTCGTCACAAAGTCATGAAAAGTTAATTTCTGTTTTACTATAAACTACTACAATTTCTAAACTTGTTTGGAATCCCTGCCCATGACTTGAACTCGCCCATGCCTAGCTTTCCCTGACCAGATAACAACCCTCTCTAAAACCTCAGTAGTGCCTCATAAATTCTGATGTTGGGATCTAAATTTATTCCCTACCTGAAATGTTAAGCCATGTAGATCATTAATCTACTATATCTGCCTTTGTATTATGCTTGTCAAAATCTTGTTATCTGTAAGTTCTCAAGACACCTCCCTTTGCAACTTTTTGTTTTATAAAAATATGCTCCTAGAGAGTTAGGGTATTGTTCTCTAACCCAGGGTTTTTGGGAGAGACAGTCCTGGCCAGTTTCAGTGTACATAAATACAAGCTTGCTTTAATCTGATTTAAAATTGGAGTTGGTGGTCTTTTCTTTGTGTTGTGGTTTAACAATTCAAGACGACTGTAATATTAATCCATAAAAGGAAAGTTCTCTCCATGTTAACTCTGCTATCTTTCCATTTGTAAGCTCTGTATTTATAGAGAAAAAGTTTTATTTTGGCTATTTATTTAATGTCTTTAAGCCATAGGTTTTTCTAAGAAACAAAACTGTACAAAAGTGAACAAGTAGATTTTTAATTGTTTTTACAGGGTCATTGTTTAGTTATAATTTTTGCTTATAAGTCAATGAAGATAATAAAACAAAGGTAGTAGGTCCTCTGTTTCTGCAGTTTCCATATATGTAGATTAAATCAACCATGGAGCTACAATATTAAATATATATATTCTTAACAAAATCAGGTGGTTTTTTCCTGTCATTATTCTGTAAACATGATAGCATAACAACAATTTACACAACATTTACAATGTATCAGGTATTATGAATAATCCAGAGATGATTTTAAGTATATAGGGAGATGTTTGCAGGTTATATTTTATTTTATTTAAGGGACTTGAACATTCACAGATTTGGTATCCACTGAGGATCCTAAAAACAATTCCCTACATATACCAAAGGAGAACTGTACATACATTCATATATAGAACTTTGTTTAAACTTCTAAGTTTTCTTAGAATCCATCTTAACCATAACACAATAATTAGTTGTTTTTTTGTTTGTTTGTTTGTTTGGGGGGAAGGCTGTTATTTTTGTTAGTGGGGATTGAACTCAACCACTGAGCCACATCCCCAGACCTATTTTGTATTTTATTTAGAGACAGAGTCTCACTGAGTTGCTTAGCACCTTGCTTTTGCTGAGATTGGCTTTGAACTCAACAATCCTCCTGCCTCAGCCTCCAGACTCCTGGGATTACACGCATGTACCACCATGCCAGACATTTGCATTTGGGTCTATTTTTTTTTTTTTTACCTGAGATTTAAGAAGTAGAAATTCAGTAGTAGATATAGTTATAATAAGCAATTGTCTGCTACAAAACATATTGTGAATTTTTTGAGGTTTGTATTTTCCTTTAATACAATAGTTTACCCATTGGCCCACAAAGCTTTGATATGGAATACAAACACTACCAAAAACTTCCCTATCAAATATCTAAAGGAGAAAACATGGTTTATAAAACCTTTACGTTACACCGCAATACACTGTAAATGTCAAGCTTTTGGGAAAAGGCACCAGTGCACAGAAGTGCAGGCCTTAATGTGCTTTAGCAAGTACAGGGGAGATGTGAAGGGGCACCTTTGGGGCTGTAGAAGGCTGGATTCTGCAATCCACAGAGCTGCCTTGGGCCTGGACAGACCAGCCACGCCCTCCAATCTTTACTACTGTCTGGCTCCCCGGGAATTCCTTTGACCCCGCCCTGCAAGAGCCCCGCAGTTGGTGGCCACGAGACCCAGGCATTGCATTACAACCGCCATCACTGTGGCCAGGCCGGTTAACCACACAATACTGTCTCTCCTGATAATCCTCTCAGGCCTGGCGTGGCCGACCTCTGGTGGCCAGAGTAAGTAAAGGGCCCAACTGGATCTGAGGGCAGCCTTTAGCAGAGACCTTTAGCAAGATGAGCTTCAGCCTCCTCGCTCCAGAAAGCTCAGACTGGTGAAGGATGCAGCAGAGCCAAACCTGTTTCAAGGCTCTGATCCTTGAAGGCCCCTGAGCCCTGGTGGTGAGAAGGCTCCCTGCAAACCCGGGATACTTGTCCCTCATTTATGTGACCTGTATAAGAAGAGGTGCATCTCCTGTGGAGGTGCGGGAAAGAGAGAGTCTGCATGGGGTCCGGACCCTGGGATGGGGTCTTCCGTTCAGGACTGAGGTCAACAGGCCCCAAAGTGTCTCTGGATAGCAAATCTCTTGCTCTCACAGGATCTTCTACCTGGGATCAGCAAGGTGTAGTTTTGGAGCTTGGAGTGTGTGCAAATGCTAGGGCTTGGGAGTTTAAAAGGTGATGAAGGGAAAGGAGACAAGTGAAGACTGAAGATTCTGCTCCCCACTGGGGAACGTTGACCTGTGCTTTTTCTTGCTGCAGGCTCTAAATCATCACTTCTGCAAATTACAGTGCCGGAGAAGTTTGACAAAAACACCAACCGTAAGGATGTTACAGAAACACACGTAATTAAGAAATCAATTTTATAAAATTTATCCGTGCTTTATTTTTACTGTACTATGGCCCAGATCAATTTATGTACATTCCTTTGTGAAATTCTGTTTGTGTTCTAATTTACCATGCTAAGGAGTGTTTTAGTTTGAGAACAATCTTTGATTTTTTTACAATTTTTTTTAGGTAATGTAGGAATTATATGTAATTATTTTAAAACAGAAACTGAAGAACAAAACAATACAAACAGTGCCCCAAATTTTTGGAATGCAAAATGGAGTGTACCATTTACAGGACTCTTACAAAATATATACATTTAATGATGTATGGTCTTGCACATGAGATCATGCTAACATTGACCTTGTACCAATTTTAAACTGGAATACAAAATAAAATAAAAAAACAAAAGCCAGAAAACTTCATGGCTATATAGGTATCCATATGTATATATAAAACCTTCAGAAAAAGGACATTATATCATTTAAAAAGGATGTACATTGCAAAGTTAAATCTAGACAGCACAAACAATTGTGAATACAGTGAATATTTACCTTGGTTTTAAAGATAGTAAATTTAAAGTATGTGAATATTTACACATGGACATACACATTTGTAATGATCATCTGAGTCTTTATATGGTTGTAATATCACATATTTTACAAAACTTTTGACATGTACATCGTTTCATAAGGCTTTGGTAGTTCATCTACATAGGATCAATGAGTACACAGGTAAATATTTTTAGGATATGTATTTCAAAATATCTTCACTTCTTTCCAAATCATATAGTTGCTCTTACACAAATGGCACACTACCTTAATTATCATCATTTCATCATAAGTCTCTGAAATTTGGTATTTTTCTGCTTTTGCTTTTTTTAATTATTTTGCCTGTTTCATTTTTTAATATGTAAATCTTGTACATTGTCTTGCCAAATTTTACAAACAGCTCCTGGGATTTTGTAATAGATAATATTCAATCTACAAGTCAATTTTTGAGTGAAATGAAATTTCAATAATATCAAGTTAATTTATGAATGTGATTTTTTTCTATGTATTTGTCTAATTTGATTGTTCTCTGTCATGTTTTGTATTTTCAATTATAAGTAGACTGCATATATGCTTTAAAAATTTTTTAGATGTTGGTGAAGCTTTATTTTATTCATTTATTTATATGTGGTGCTGAGAATCAAACCCAGCGCCTCACACATGCTAGGCAAGCGCTCTACCACTGAGCCACAATCCCAGCCCAAGTCTGCATATGTTTAAGGTTTACTCACACTATGTAAAATGGTATTTTTAAAGTTTATTTTATAATTGTTTCTCATTGTATAGAAATAAACCATATATTTGTGTATGTAACTGTATATATCAATACTGCAAATAAGAATTTTAAATAGTTAATAATAGTAATAGGTTTCTGTTTCTTTTGACTTTTTATGTATTACATACATATTATTTACAAAAGAGCTTCATTTTTTCCCTTTTTTTCCTATCCTTAGGAGTTTTTTTCCTTTTTTTCATTTTTATTTCATAAGTAATGTTGAGAAGCTCCCACATGACATTAAATATGAGTTAATAAATAGTTCATCAATTTCATCCATGTTTTTTTCTTTCTTTATTTTGTGCTTAACAGGCACACAAGTGTATCTGCACAGGAAAAATAACTTGCAATGTTCTATATCACAGCAGCAGAATTATGGTTGACAACAATTAATACTATATTTTAAAATAGGTAGTTCAGAGGATTTTGATTGAATTTAAATTTAGTTATGAATAATTCTGTCATAAACTTCAATTTTGAGGTGTGCAGTACATAATTCATGTGTATGAAAGAGTATATACATATAAAAAATCTTAGCTTTTTACTTTTAAGGATCTAAAATTTCTAACGACTATTTTCTCTTTTAATACTTTGCTGCAGGTGACCTATAGTATCACTATTGAGGAGAAAACATACATTCTCTCTCTCAAAAAACAGTAAGTGTCCATTTTTCTTTTCATACAGTTGTTTTTATAATCACCACCCTAAATTGAGCTTAAATAAAAGCATAAATACTTCATTTCTTTAACACATTGTATCTGCTTTGGAGTTAATGTTAGGCTTGAATTTCAAACATTAATTGTGATTTAATAATCTAGCCAAATTCTAATTTAATGATAGAAATATTAATGCATGTTTGATGAATGAGAATTATTCTATTTTACTCCTTAAAATGTAAGCAGAAATGCAATAATCAAAGGCCTTTTTTATGTCTGTTTAATTTTTTTTACCTGTAGAGATCATTTTACATATTTATATTTTTTAAGCATCTTAATTCACATTACACTTGTCAAAATAAAAATTAAAATTAAAATGGAGATCAGGCCTGAGAAGTTCCTCAACCAAAAAAAAAAAGAAAAAGAAAGAAATCAGATAGACCATGAAAATAGCCATAAGTTGTACACATAATTACAACTTAAAGTGGGTCTTTCTTTGTAAATGCCAGTGTTGGCAAAATAAAACTTAAGCCCAGCGAATCTAAAGTGCTCAAGTAAGGCATAATTATATGATCAGGGACCTTCCCACAAGGGAACTAAAAGAAAATTTAATAACCGTAGCCAATCACATATTTCCTTTGTTTTTACTTCCAAAGTTACAATATAGATACTTGCCCTTCAACTCTTCTCTGATTTTATGCTTTCCATTCATGAATTGCTGTGAACTGAAGTTCACTCTTTTTTAAGTTCTTTCACATTTTGTTGCACCTCACAATAATGTTTTTTATCATTTTGCTACAGTTTATCCTTTTCTATCTATAAATTCTCTTTTCTCCTTTTATTCTGTTAGAAAACCAATGGCATTAACTTTGTACATAACCTTCAGTAATTTCCTATTCTAAATTCTATCTTTAAAACAACACATAGAAATGGACAGAAAAGTTTGTTTTTCTACAAACATCTATATTAATTTGAAACTGGTAGATTTTATTAATAATGTGCAATGTATATCTTGTTATTCTCAGCATGACATTCTTTAATAGATAACAATCCACATTATGTAGAATCATGGATAATATTATTTTCAGGGAATGTCTCTCTGGAACCCTACAGTGAGCATCCTTATATATAAATTCTTATATATATATTTTGCTTTATAGTTTTGACATCAAGAAATGGGATGCCAGATCAAGAAGTACCAATAAAATGACAATAATAAATAGCAACAATGACAAAAGTGGCTGACATTTATTAAGCACATACTGCTTGCCAAACAGATTAAATTAACAATTTCCATATACTTATTTAATTTTCACAATAATCTCTAAAGGCAGGCATTGTGTATTACTCACATGTTTTAATGCACTAATAGTTCTAGAAATATTTTTATATAATTATAATATTTTATATAATTATGACCAATTATTTTCTGAAAAGTCAGTACCAGTTTAATTGTCCAAAATAATGCATGATGTGCCAAAATATCTTTTCTCAAGGTAGCATATCGTGTCAGGGAGCACATCGTAAAGCAAGCCATTTACCTGATAGCTGAGAAGCAAATAAGAGAGAATGAGGAGGAGACCAAAGTTCCCATGTACCCAATGACCCAAAGCCTCCTACAATAACCACAACTCTTAAAAGTTCTACCACATTCCAATAGTGCTTATAGCCTGGCGACCTGTCATTTAACCCATGGGCCTTGGAGGACATTGCAAATGCAATCTATAGCCACCTACTTGAATGCTCTGTTATTGCTCTATTGAGAGTCTTAGTCATTTTCAATAAGGGATCTTGCATTTTCAATTTAGTGTTGGCCCCCAAAATTAACTAGCTCATTTGTGGCTATGTTACTTAATTTGTTCAAAGAGTGTTAGCTGACATAAACAGAGGGTTGAAAACAGCTTTGTGATTTTCTGCTTCCCATCAAGTTTGTCTACCATTGCCATGAAAATATACTTGAACTAACTTCCTGGAAGCAGTGTCACATGGATTGCAGCCAAAATACCCTATAAGTCTCATTCAAGGTCAGCCAAAATTCACTTGAATCCTACACCAAATCTGGTTGAGGTTAGTAAAAGTACTGAATCTACCCTCACATTACCCAGAAAGGGACAAATATTTGCTTATTTTTTTATTGTGCATATTGTAGTTTTCTGGTAGTTTGGTATGTAGCATTTTATGTAAGATCATTATTTAGGATTGATTCATATTGATGTATATATACAAAATGAGTTCATTTATATTCAGTGCATATGTAGACATCAAATCAATATGTCTTACCTATTATTTATCCACCAATATTTGTAGGGATGTCCATTAATTTTACTCAATTGATTAACAACAATGCCAAGAAAAGTTGTCTGTGGATGTCATTGTTCTTGTTCTTGACTTCCTCAGAGGCACCTGTGAAATTGTTACGTCATAAATGAGAAAACATTCATGTGTGGCATACACTGCAAATATTTTAGTTGAAGAAGTGCATACTGACTGCCACTAACAATTCAAAGCTATCTCTAATCTCTATATCCTCAACCAAATGCACAATTTTACTCTTTTATTATTGCCAATTAATACATAAAGGATTCCACTTCATAGTAAAACAGTTCAAGATATATTTCCCTACTTTTTTTCCACTACTTATTAAGAGCATGCCATATGTTTTCAAATATTTGTCCACCATTCTAATTGAACCCTTCCCCTAGATTTAGCTTTTTCTTTGTGGCTTTATTTTTATTCCCTTGGTTTTGAAATATTTATTTTTAATATATAATTTATTTTTCTTTTTAGTTTTTTTTTTTTTTTTTTACAATCAGCTTGGGAGAAATTATATTTTCTGTGTATATTAACCCTTTGATTTGTTCTAGATGTTGCAGGTATGCTGCCCAGTCTATCGATTGCCTTCTTTTTAGGATTTACGGCTATAAAAATTTAATTTTCATTTCAACAGTTCTATTCATATTTTGTCTGATTGATTTTAGAATTTCCCACTTATGTTTCTTACATCTTGAATTTGTATCATAATGATCCTTCAGTGATACTAAAAGTGTTTATACACTTCAGATGAAAATATAGTGCTGGCTTTATTGATTATCACTATCTTCTTATTTTTCTTGATATTGCAACTTTTATGCAGACCCTGATATTGGTTAGTCAGAAAACTTGCAGATTATTTTCTTCAGTTGAAATAAATGCATAGAATGCTTTCTGAATTGGTGTGTTTCTGCAAATTTTCCTTTTGTTTTCAATGAACAATACCTCATGAATCATATTCATTCATATATTTTTTTGTTCTAAAAGTTCATCTTAAGTGAATTTTTCAGTACATGTTTTGTTGTTGTTTATATTTGTGTGTGTATGCATATGTGTGAATTTTGAAGTATTTATGCTTTACCAATTCAGTTCTTGGCCACCAAAATCTCTTTGATATATTTATTAAATTAAAAATTTTCAGTGTGATATGTTTCAGTTTTAGAATGCCCATTTTATTTTTCTTGAAATGATCTCCTTTGAAATCAATTAACTTTCCTTCAAATTCTAATTTTACTCTTAAATCAGTGCTAATTTCTTATTTATTTATTTATTTTCCTTACATGGAATATTGGTTTTTTAGTGATCAATTATCCCTTTGCTATTTAAGCCAGACTCCTTTGTAGTTTCATGTAGGAGTAAAAAAATATACTTCTGAGGGCCTAAGGTGAATAAACTTGAAAACTGAAGTGTTATAATTATGTTAGATTTCTTTTAACATATAATTTTTCCCCTGAATACGACTTCTGTATCCTATTTCCACTACCTTCATTTGCATGCTTTACAGATAAAAAAATGTGACTCTGCTTTCATGCCATTATTTATTATCCAGGATCTTGCACCTAAATTTAGATATTTTCCTTGAATCTATACATACATTCAGTTTCCTTGAATAAACTGATAAATAACATTTTTTTTCTGCATTGGGAAGATTACAGTTTTGGTTCTAAATTGAGAAGAAAAATTTGTCAGGAATGAGAGAAAATGAAATAGATATAAAGAGTGAAGAGGGAAAGAAAGAAGTCTGTGAGTGCCCCAGCATCTATTCTAGTCTGGCCTTGAAATGTGTTTTGGTGCCTGTGATCCTGATAGCTTGCTGCTTAATCTTCATTTCATCCCATGGGAAAATAATACCTCTCACCACTTTTTGTCAAGTGCATCCACAAAAATTGTTTAGCTTGTGAAATTTGAGCAAAATACCAGTATCCCCTGTGAACTAAGCTTTAGGACTAACATATGCTTACACAGCTTCTTTTGCCTTTTTGCTACAAAAAGGCATGTTTAAGGGTAAGGCATGCCTTTCCTAGATTTCAGAGTGAAGTTGAGACTCCAGGAGACTCATGAACACTCATTGTTCTTTTTAGGGCACTGAGGAATTGAAGGTTGTTTTAATCATAGTATAATTTCATGAAAACTATTTAATAAAAAAATAGATTAACCCATTTTTAAGTGTTAGCAAATATTAAGATATTCATCCCATGGTATCTATTGAAGGTGGATCTTAAATAAAAGTCTCTTGAAATACGAAATTCCTATTATTGCATGAAGTTTGCATTGAACAATTTATCATTCTGAATTCATCACAGCTCCATACTAGTCCTGGTTATAGTAGTTAATTTTGTTTTGTATTTTTTCTTATGTAGATAATACAATATTAAGACAGGTGAGTCTATTTTAGTTTAGATATTTGGACTTAAAACATTGATAGTAAATCTTGATTCATTTCACTGTTCTAGAAGTTATTATTAATGATATTAATACAATGAAATTTCAATGTTTGTTTGAAATAGGTCATATTTAGCCCCAAATTTCCCAGTGTTTTCATATAGCAAGTGGGGATCATTACAAGAAGATTCTTTATTTGTTAAGGTAAGTTTTGATATTTTCTGTGTTTTAATTTGGTTAAGGTGCTAGTGTTGGCAAGAAAACGGACGCTTTATACTCTATAATGTTGTTGGGGAAACAGATAACAAACACCTCCCCCCCCAGGCAAATATGGCAAATTTCTTGGAAATCATATTGACTAAAACAGATACTTTTACTTTACTGGAAATCACAAATCATTTATCAATCAATAAATAAATAAAACAAGAAGAAGAAGAAAAAAAAGGAGAGATCTAGGTATATAAGAAGTTCTTTTTAGAGAGAAAAAACAGAATGGTGAGTGTGAGGATGCAAAAATACGCCCAGAATCTTAAGTAGGTTCACATGCGAATCATTGGAACGTGAATGGTTTCCAAAAGGCTTTCGGGAGCTAGAAGGTTTTGGAAATATGTGAGAAAATAAGTGTGTAAGATATTTATTTTGGTTGAACAGATTGGTAAGAGGCAAATGAGAGTGATGGGTCAGATTATTTTGCTATATCAGAACTGAGAGATAATGTGATTAAAAATATAGTAACTATAGTTTGTTTGGTTCACCCTACCTTATGCAATTAGTAAGCAGAACAAAATGAAAGAGATATGTTACAATAGGCTGATTGGGATTCAATTTGGCTTTCGGACTGGGGATACTATCTGGACTACAGCATAGGGGTTGAAAAGAAGCAGAACTCGAGTTCTGAGTTCAGAGACATCGAAGCAGTTGAAACTTGCATGGCACATTGTCAGAGATGTGGGGGTGTACTGTCTGCAGCCCACTTTGCTAGAGTAGTGGAATGGGTTGCCAAGAGACCAAAGAAAGCACCCAGAGAGGGCATGCAAGATGTATATTTTATTAAAAACTGCTTACAGGTAAGGTCCAGTGATGACAGGTTGAACTGATGGCACTTGCATCTGTTTTGTTGATAAAGACAGAATTTTACTTTTGTTGACATCTGAATATTCCACCATTTATACAAATTGCATTTTTCTTTTCCATTTTTCTTTTGTAAGGGAAGTTAGGCTGATTCCATATCATAGCTATTATCAATATTATTGCAATAAAATGGGCATATAGGGGCCTTTTTGTAATATTGACTCCATTTCTTGGGCTATATACCCAGAGTTGGGAATCACTGGGTCTTAGAGTATACCTACTTATAGTTTTTTTGAAGAGGTCTTCCTTTTTGTTAATTGTTTTATGTCCTTGGGCGGTGCTTCCTTGCTTGACTGTGAATTTGGCTACACCTATGTGCTGAATTGTTGTGAGTGAAATAGGGATATAAATATCAGACACTATTGGGATATATTGGTATCAGCTGAGGTCTGGTGGAATCATCTTTCTAAGTCCCCAGGCATTCATCTAAGATAAGAAAAGATTTTACTAAGAGAAAATATTAAAAGTCTAGAGGGAGGTCCACCTTATCACCCTCAACCCTCTAACCCAAAGTCAAAACCTAGCAGTAAGAAGGTTAATTTGAGTTACCATTAAATTAATTGCCTTCTGTACAAAATGCAATACTGTATATAGAGAGGTTACACATAATATAGAATGGAAACCATTCAGATAAAGACAGAAATTAATGAGACAGAAACATAGAAAAGAATAGGAAAAAAATCTACAAGACCAACCTTGAATCCCTTGAAAGGATTAGTGAGAATAATCCCACGTAAGAACTCTCTAGAACAAAAATAAAAATATCTACAAATATTAAGGATGGAGAATCATTATTACTAGTCATACATAAACCAAAATATTTTACAATTCTATAATGGTTTCATGCCAAAAATTCTATCATTTGTTTGATAAAGACAATTTATCAAAATTTAGACAGGAAAAAGTAAACAATCTCAGTTGACATTTATTTAAAATTTGAATTTTTAAACACCTACTTTCCCAGATTTAGTTAATCTCACTTTAGTGTATTCCCCATGTTCTGAGGAAGAGAGGATATTACCTATTGAGAGGTGACTTGGCTGTTGCAGCTATGGTATTAAAAATAATGCTTTCAAGAATATTCATGTGCAAATAGTTGTGTGGATGTAACATTTTATTTCTCTGGGATATGTGGGTAAGGGTGTGATTACCAGATCCAGTTGTAAATAAATGTATGTTTTGGTGATTTTTTTAAGAAAATACCAAATTATTTTCCAGAGTGTCCATAGAATTTTAATATGCTCACCACCAAAGTATGAGGGATAGAGCTCTTCATAATTATCAACATTTGGCATTTTAATTATGCACACACATAGACAAAATATTAGCTTCTCTCATTTAGCAGTATCTCGTGTGGTTTTGATTTGTGTTTCTTAATGGCTAGTGAGTGATGGATATATTCTCATGTGCACGTCACTTTTTGAGATAGGTCTATTTATGTTTTTCTTTCATTAACTGGATTGCATACATTTTAAATCCACATTTTGTCAGATGCTTTTTTCGGAAGTATTTTCTCTCAGCCTGGGAGGTACTGATTAGAAAGTAAGACTATTTCATGTTAAGGAAATCAGTTCCTGAGACAACATGGTGGAAATTTGGGCCTACTTTTTCTTCTGTTAGGTGCAGGGTCTCTATTCTAGTGCTTAAGTCTTTGATCCACTTTAAGTTGACTTTTGTGCAGGGTGAGAGATAAGGTTTAATTTCATTTTTTTAACATATGGATATTTAGTTTTCCCAGCACCATTTGTTGAAGAGGCTATCTTTTCTCCAATGTATGTTTTTCACACCTTTGTCTAGTATGAGATAACTGTATTTATATGGGTTTGTCTCTGTGTCTTCTGTTCTGTACCATTGGTTAACGTATTTGTTTTGGTGCCAAAACCATGCCAATTTTTGTTACTATTGCTCTGTAGTATAGTTTAAGGTCTGGTACTGTGATGCCTTCTGTTTCATTCTTCTTGATAAGGATTGCTTTGGCTATTCCTGGCCTCTTATTTTCCAAATGAATTTTATGATTTTTTTTCTAGTTCTATGAAAAACGTCATTGGAATTTTAATAGGAATTGCATTAAATCTATATAATACTTTCGGTAGTATGGCCATTTTGACAATGTTAATTTGGCCTATCCAAGAGCATTGTAGATCTTTCCACCTTCTAAGGTCTCCCTCAGTTTCTTTCTTTAGTATTCTGTAGTTTTCATTGTAGAGTTCTTATACTTCTTTCATTAGATTGATTCTCAAGTATTTTATTATTTTTAGGCTATTGTAAATGAGGTAGTTCTCCCAAATTCTCTTGCAGTGGATTTATCACTGATGTATAGAAATGCATTTGATTTGTGTGTATTGATTTTATATCCTGCTACTCTTCTCACTATAGAATCATGTTATTGGCAAATAGTTGGCCTGGGGTTTAGCATAGATTTGCTTTTACAATGTTGAGGTATGGTAAAACCTACTATTCCTAGGTTTTCTAATGTTTTGATCATGAAGGTGTGCTGTATTTTGTCAAATGCTTTTTCTGCATTTATTAAGATGATGATATGTTTCTTGTCTATTGATGTGATGAATTACACTTATTGATTTCCCCATGTTGAGCCAACCTTGCATCCCTGGGATAAACCATATTTGATTTTGGTGCACTATCTTCTTATTGTATGTGATTTGCTGATATTTTATTGATAAATTTTGCATTTATGTACATCAGGGATAGAGGTCTGAAGTTTTCTTTCATTTATGGTCTTTGTCTCATTTTGGTATCAGGGTGATACTAGCCACATAGAATGAGTTTGGAAGGGTTCCCTCGTTTTGTATTTCATGGAATAATTTGAGGAGTATTGGTGTTAATTCTTCTTTGAAGATCTTGTAGAATTTGGCTGAGAATTCATCTGGTCTTATGGTTTTCTTGGTTGGTGGGCTTTTGATGGCATCTTCAGTTTCATTGCTTGAAATTGAGCTGTTTAAATTGTGTATGTCCTCCTGACTCATTTTGGGTATATCATGTTTCTAGAAATTTGTTGATGCCTTTGATATTTTGTATCTTATTTGAGTATAAATTTCAAAATAATTTCTAATTATCTTCTGTATTTTAGTAGTGTACATTGTGATATTTCCTTTTTCATCATCAATTTTAGTAGTTTGAGTTTTCTGTCTTCATTAGTGTAGCTAAGGGTTTATCAATTTTATTTGATTTTTCAGAATCAACTTTTTATTTTGTCAATTTTTGATCTTCACTTGTTTCTTTTGTTCAATTTCATTGATGTCAGCTCTAATTTTAATTATTTCCTGTCTTCTATTGCTTTTGGTATTGATTTGTTCTTCTTTTTCAAGATCTTTGAGATGTAATGTTAGGTCATTTATTTGTTGACTTTTTATTATTTTAATGAATGAACTCAAATGCAATGAACTTTCTTCTTAGTACTGCTTTCATAGTGTCCCAGAGATTTTGATATGTTGTGTCATTGTTCTCATTTATTTTTTTATTTCCTCCCTGATTTATTCTGCTATCCATTCATCATTCAATAGCATGTTATGTAGTCTTCAGGTTTTGGAGTAGCTTCTTTTTAATTTTATTGTTGATTTCTAGTTTCATTCCATTATGATCTAACAGCATGCAGAATAATATTTCTATTTTTTTTTTGTATTTACTAAATGTTGCTTTGTAGCATAACACATGGTATATTTTACAGAAGGATTCATTGCTTTTGAGAAGAGAGGGTATCCATTCAATGATGAATAAAATACTTTATATATGTCTGTTAAGTCTAAATTATTGATTTTATCATTTAGTTCTACAGTTTCTTTGTTTAGTTTTTGTTTGGAAGATCTAGCCAGTGGTGAGAGAGGTGTGTTAAAGTCACCCATATTATTGTGTTGTGGTCTAATTGGTTTTTGAAATTAAGAAGAGTTTGTTTGATATACTTGAACGGTCCATTGTTTGGGGCATATATATTTATAGTTGTTATGTCTTGAAGATGTATGATTACCTTAAGCAGTATGAAATTTCCTTTATCCCTTCTGACTAACTTTGGCTTGAAGTCCACTTTGTCTAATTTGAGGATGGAAACCCCTGCTTGT